CATTTACGGGTGAGTAGCTATGATCCATTTATGTGTTCAGCTTTTCAGTAGGCCTTTTCCATAGGTTCCATGGAGAGGTTACTGCATGATTCTCACTAATGAGTGTTTACAGTATCTCTGCCATGGAGATTATAGGCAAATGGTGTTTAAAAGCTCTTCTCATCGTTTATACAATTGCTGGTATTACACAGCTATTTATTGTGAAGTTGAAACTATTAGAAGTGGACATTTTAAAAAGCAATCTTTGTGGAAAACATAATATCAGAAAATAAAGTCAGTTGTTTTGCAAGGCAGTTTCTATTCTTTCCATTTTGAGAATTACTCTCAGTTCAGTTGTATTACCATGGTGATGTGTTTACATTTCAACAAAACCCAACCAAACCATGAACTGGAGCTCTGCACATCTAGCTCCTGTCCTAGGTTTTTTTGCAGTATCTTTATTATTCAATAAAGCTGCCAATGTCCTGGCTAAAAAAAAATCACAACGGAGAAACAATTTCTCAGCCAGACACAACCATCTGGATTGTGAATCTCAGAACTCTAAGAAATCACATTAAAGTGAAAAGAAGATTGGGCATTAGAGGGGTAAAAGTCAAATGAAGAAGAAGCCTGCACATAAATAGAACGATACTTGCTCTCTAAAATAAGATTGTGGAAGTAAACAAACACAGGCAGGGCATTTTGCTTAATGAGAATTGGATGTGTGGCTTAGCCCTCTGAGGTCTGAAATGAGTAAACACTTCCAGAATTGTCAACACATACATCCTTCTCTCAAAGGAGAGCCTTAGAGCTGTGGCTTCCCCACTCACTGTTTATGAAGCTAATTTTGCTCTTTGGAATAATTGTGCATGAATTTTTGACAACTAAATGAACTCTACAGGAGGTGAGTTTTGAGGGCTTCAAAAATTCCTACAGTTACTACCAGTTGGACACAGGAAATAGTTTTGCATAATACTATTTGTGTAAGGAGAAGGAAAGAGCACATCATCTATTCTATCAAAGTGTGAAACCAAGATTTAGACAGATGTACACAACTAACTTATCACATCTGCTCAAATATTATATCAAATCATTACTTCCAAGATAGCAATTTTTTTAGCCCAAGGACACATTAGCTCAGTCAGATCTGGGCTCTCACAAAGCTTTTTGCTAGCTGCCCTGCTTACTGGTAAATAGGCAATGTGATCTTGCCTAGCAACCCCACCATGGAAACAAGGCTCAATTCTAAGTGGTGGGGAGGTTAGGAGGGTGGGCGAGGCAAGCAAGCTTCCTGCCTCTCAGGGTCCCTGTGCAGCTGGTACCTGACATATTGCAAACATTATCTACAATTCCTGGCAGTTTCAGAAGGACAATGAAGAAGCACGGGGAAGTTTACTGAAAGACAAAGGCTTCCAAGATTCTGAGCAGAGACTGTTTGAAAGTTCAATCCAGAGTCAGTACAGAAGAACCAAGGGAGGATGAGGACATTTTTCTCATTGAAAAGGAGGTACTTACACAAGATAACATATCCAGGAAGGGACAACCAGTAGTGACCTCCTGAAGCTCAACAAAGATTATCTTAAGCCAGACAGGAGGGAGCATTCCTCAACAACTAAGGGCAGCATTAAATCTGCGACTGTCCACATCTAAGGAAACATTTGACCTTTCACGTTGGAAATGATCATTAACAATCACTGAGCACTTAGCAGGCACTGTGCTAAGCTTTTACACACTTACTAAATCTTCCAAACAATCCTATGAGGTGGATTCTTTTATCTCCATTTTATAGAGGAAGAAAATGATACCCAGAGAGGTTGAGGAACTTGCCCAAGGCCACTCAGCTATTCAGCTGTGGGGATGGATGTGTCTTGGAAAGTCGGCCCTTAGACTCCAAGTTCTTAAACTCTACCCTATAGGAATAGTGAACGGTTTCAAGGCTAATGGGAAAAAGAAGCCCAAAAAGAAAGTTTGTGGTTCCATCTCAAAAGCTACAGATTAAAATGCTCAATTAAGGCAACTGGGTTTAAAAAAAATATCTGGGGCAGCAAAAACATGGGTATCCAGAATAACAGATATTACTAAAACTTTATGCCCATACCTCTTCCTTTAATAGTGAATTATGGGTATGCCACATATTTGCATACATCTACATACACACGGAAGACACTTAATTTCTTAAGTCCCTAAAACACCCCAATGATTAATGCCTCCAAGCATCACTCTAAGCTGTCTGGAGGAAGCAGCTCCGGGACCCACTGGATGGCTTGGACAGTGAGCAGGGGTGACATGCCTACCTCGCTGATAAACTCTCCAGCCGATAATGCAATTCAGACACCGTTATCCAGCCTTTGTTACAGCTTCCCTCTCTGACACCAAACCAGTTCTGTCCTGTGCTGTCTTTCCTCTGCCCACCTCCTGGAGCCTGGGAATGCCTCCAGCTTCCAACGTCTTTGCAGCCCTCCTTGCCAATCTCAGCCTCATTTGGATTGCAGTTATATTCATATCCTAATTTATGACTTAACAAGTGTCTCACAAACATTTAATTCACTTTAATTTCATTATGCATTTGAGAGGACGATTTATGGATGGGGGTGGGATGAGGGGGAAGAATGACGTTCCCATCGCCAGCAATTAGATTAACTTAATGATCTCCTTTTGGGCTTTGGACTTTGTGTGTGTCTGCAAACAAAACTAGGCTAATAATAAGTAAGTTCCTGGATTCTCAGAGGGGCCCAGCTGCCTCTACAAAGTCCTATAATATCCAATATGGAAATTCATGACATAGGTAAAACATTCCACGTGGTTCTCAGGCAATTTGCTTGTCATGATGCTTTTGTGAAAAAAAAATTGCTATTTTCATATGCAGTTTCAAATCTATCAATAAATTATCTTTTTTTTTTCCAGATGGCTTTTCTGAGGAGATGAGAAAGGGACTATTGAGAAACATGGGTCAGATTATTTTTCCCTGTTCCCAATTTATACCCTGAGTGCCCTCTTAGGAGTCAGAACTCATGACAGCTTTTTGTAAAGAAGGATTATAGTTCTTTAGTACTTGGATGTCTAGGAATATATTGACCCCAGAACTGGGGTACAGATGGTGCTGACTTAGATTTATGTACATAAATGTTCTCTACCATAACTATCCTTACTCATTTAATTGCCCGTTGAATTTTGCCGTATTGAACATCCCTGGGACCCAGGACCCCAGTTGGGTGGGGCCGAATGTTTCTGAGGCGTGCTTGGAGTGGAGGGCCGCCTTTCCCCTTCTCAGCTCTCTGGCTCCTTGGGGCTTTCTAGTGAGGCAGCAGTAGCAATGTGTCTCCCACACATCAGGGAGGAAGAGAGGAGAGAAGGAAGGGAAACAATCGTAGTCATCCTCTCATCTCTGAGACCTACTCATTTTCTTTACTGGCATTTCCATGGTTGAGCCAAGGGGTTGGTTGATCTTAGAAGACCATTTCTGTCCTGGGAAACCTGCCTGAGGTGTTGCTATTATGACTGAAGCTTGGGAATTCCTGGGCAGGTAGCCCAGTGACAATTTCTTATTCTTGGTCTTCCTTCCCAGAAGGCAAACCCAGAAGGGCACCCTACTGTTCATGGCAGTTGGTCTGGCTTATTTTGTTAGGAGGAACTCTGGCAACTTTGACTTGAATCGTCAAGTACCTTGAAAAGCTTGCTCCATCAGTGAGCACTGGGCTGAGGGTCAATCAGTCAGAATTCTAATCTCACCTCTGCCTTTATTAGCAGCATCATTTTATGCAAGACCCTCAACCTCTTGGCTTCTATTTTTGCATCTGAACAAATGAGGTATATGAATGCAAAAGTTTCCCTGTGCTCTGAGGTTCCCTGTCTAATTCACCAGCAGGCAATGAATAGAAAATAGAGCACATGGTAATGATTTCCTACATCCTGCGCTGCAAATGTGGTGTGCTTTTGCAGAAAATCAATCTGGGTGATGGAGAAAGGACCATTCGTTCTGGTGGTGGTGACAGAGTTATGATAGACATGCTTTTGGTGGGGTTATGGTACTAGGGTCCTCCCCGGTGACAATCTCCAGAGCCCGTACTGGGAGTTCTGAGGAGACCTGAAGGATTATTTAGTTCAGAGGCAGTGCCAATCTTGCCTTGAGTGCTTTCCAGAGGAAAGCAGTGATGCTTCTGGTCCACCTTGGGACTCCATTGGCATGATTCCTTTGCCCTGACATCAGTCTAATTCCCATTCTGAATTTTTTCACCTCTTAACTGACTCCTTCAGAAGTTGACATGAAATGAAGCTCTGATGACCCATTTTAGATAGTGACCCTGTCATTCTGACTTGGACTGTTGTCCTGTCTCTTGAGGATAAACAGCCGACAAACACAGCAACAGCTCAAACACGTGTGGTTTAAAAGAAAATTATGTTATAAATGTGCAACTTCAGCAGGAAAGAAGGGTGAAGAGGCACACAGATACTTGGCTAGTGTCTGTCTCAAATGAGGGTGGGGGTCGCTGTATTTTCCTTTTCATCTAAACATGCTGGTCTGTCTCGGGCCAGTCCTTTTCCTCAGCATATTCCCTTTGACACAGGGAAGCAAGGTGCCAAGTCCACCACCGCCACTGTGGAAAGTGCTCCAAAGCTGTGTCCTCCTAACAGCAGGTCAATATCACCATGTGAAAAATGACCACAGGCACTTCCTGGGAAATAATTACGTTTGCACTAGTGAGGAAGTTCAGACTCAAGAGTTTGAGCTGCAGTCAGAGAACCATGCAAAGGACATTCAAGGCATGAGCTGAGTGGGGTTTCCTGCCCTGGGGCTCACAAACAGGCTTCACGCAGCCTGAGGACCACCCAGACCATCTGGAAGCTTCTGTATGTGCATTCTTCTGGGGGAGGGTCCACAGCCTCATCGGATGCTCCCAAAGCTGCCCGTGACTGAGGAAAGGTGAAATGCCACTGACACGATACATTTCTTCTGTACTTCTGATTTCTGAGTCCAGGGTGATGCAACTGACTTGTCTGTTTTTCTTCTTTGCTGTTCCTAGAAAAAGCAAGTGAGTCAGACCAAGATCCGGGTCATCTCCACTCTCCTGTTCATCTTGGCCGGCTGCGTGGTGTTCGTGACGATCCCTGCCTTCATTTTCAAGTACATCGAGGGGTGGACAGCCTTGGAGTCCATTTACTTTGTGGTGGTCACTCTCACCACGGTGGGCTTTGGTGATTTTGTGGCAGGTAAGCACAAACCATTGTCAGGGCCCCAGAGGGGAAGATACTCTGTTGGTTCCAAAACCATGAGAAAAGATGTGGGAGAAACAAGTGAAAGAGGCTCCGTGTCACCACTGCTGCGCACAGGCTCACTGCAAGCCTGTACAGTCCTGCGTGACGTAAACAGGAGCAGGCTTCTGCCATGAGAGGAAAGCCAGCCTCTTCCTCCCCAGGATGCTTATTGCCCTTATCATATGAATTATGCATGAGTGAAATGAAATTCTCATTGTATCTTGGACTTCTGAATTGTATTAAGGTTCTTCTGAGTCAATTGATAGGGCTATATTAGCAAGTGACAAATGTAAAAGTCTGGAGGTATTAGCATAGAGTTTAGCCTGCAGTGACCTGCACGTTAAGCTTTCTGATGCTGCTGAGGTGAGGGCCGTGGTCCCTGTGAAAGCTGTCCTGAGTTTACCCGGACACAAGGCTTAGGACTCAGTTGACTACTGGCAGCTGAGAACTGCCCTGAGGAAATAGAATGGATTCTATGAAAGCAAAAGAAAACCACCATCAATTTCTCCTAGGGACAGGGATCTTGAAGAAAAAATGAGATCCGGCTTCCCCCGTGGATCTCTTTCCCAGAGTGCGGAAGGAAGGCAGGAGGGGAAGGAGGCCATCCTTCTCTTTCCCAATGGGATTGTTCTAGGAGGTCAAACAAAATTGGTCATTGTCTACTCCAAGGAGCAAAGGCTTTGATTCAGCTACTCCATCAGAAGTTCCAAATGTTTGTGTGTGTGTGTGTGTGTGTGTGTGTGTGTGTGTCCTCAATAAGTCCCTGTTAGGCAGTAGCCTGGACACTTGCAGGCTGAGTTTCAGGCTGATTAGCCTTCACTTGGCACACGGTTCTGGTAGAGTCTTGGCTTTTCCAAAGTGCGTGGTGTCCATGAGGAGGACCAGGATCTGGTCTCTGGGCATCTGGGGAACACAGAATTATGTTTGAATTCTGAATGAACTTGTTGAATGTTGAAAGGTCATCAAAAGGGGCATGGATGACACATTACTTCTAGGATGACTGGCAGAGTGGTTTTGTAACTATTCCAAATGGGCAGATGAAGACAGTTGCCCACAGTGTAGAAATAGCAGTTTTTATTTTTTCTTCCTTTTTATTGACTAAGGACTAAAAAGTCAAAGTGATTTTAAAAAAGTGCTTTCAAAAGCCTGGGGCCTGGGGCCCCACCAGTCTTTCCTATGCACTGTGCTCAACCATTGTGCAACTCCTCACCTTGGGTGACAAGTCACCTGATGCCATCTGATTAGAGGCCTGAAGCTCTGGAGAAAAACCACAAGCAGCGCAAGAAGAATAATAGCCATTGTCTGGTTAATTCCTTTGCATCATCCTCAGTCGGTCTCTGGGAAACTCAGGCCAGGTTCCACTCTAAGGTAAATAGGTGCAATGGCTGCTAGAGTTTAGATCTATTTCACAGACATCTTTCTGTTCCCCCATAATTTGTACTTCTGTTCCCCTATAGTTTGTACTAGGTTGTGCATCAGAGGGCTCCATGCTAACCCTGGACTGTCTGGAGGGCTGTCCGTTAGGGGCCACTTGGTGAAGGACCCTGCTCTCCAACCAGCTACTCATTCAATCTGTTAATCTGGGGCACAGATGGCACAGTCCTGGGAATATGAAATTTTTAAAAAATTATGATTTTAACTTACAATTTTTTCATTTTAGCCACCATAGACTACAAGAACTTAGTACATACTGGCATCTGACCTTTTCTTTACTTAACTATTAAGGGTGTTACCTCCACAGTCATAGGCATGGTACTGTTTGAATTCCCGTACTTCTTGTTCATTATAGAGCCTTATTTCCTGTGTCCTGAGGTCTCCACAGACAGAGGACTCTTACAATTCACAGTCTGACTGCAATTAGACCAGGTCCTTCTAAGCTCTTTTCTAGAGTTTACATAGACCAGTCTGAAGAATGCATGCCTTAGAAGACTGGAAGTTTGTCACACCTTTTTGATGATACACTAAAAGTGATAAGGAAGGATGCCTGGTCATTTAAAAAGGTATAATAAATCACACCAACCATCAAGGCTTGTTAACACAGTATCAACACTACTAGAAATATAATGGGAATGTCCATCACCATACTGGATTAACTGCTGGTTGATTTTGTAGCTGACTCACTTTAGCACAGCCTGACAACATTACAGCATTTCCCAGCCCTGACTGGGAGCGCACACAGAGCTCTGAATTTCAGACAAGTAGCTGACCAAAGAATATGCACAAAGGGGTTTATTGTGTTGTTTGCTAGCGCACCCTAGTGACAAAAGCCGTTGGGTGGTGGTGACTTGCTAAGGTAAATATTTACTCTCCCAAGCGTTAAAGGAGAAAGCTGCAGAGCTCTCTGGTCTATCTCAGAAACGAAATGAACCTCAAAAACCACTTAATGTTGCAGAAACTACAGTAGTATTCTAGAGAAAGCTTCCGGGAAGAGTTGTGTAAAATGAAAAAACAAAGGTGGCTAAAGCAAACCAAGGGGGCCTTGCCACATACCCCTTTAGCAAGGTTTGGAATTCTAATTTAAAGACATGGCAGTAGCTGTGGAGACCTGAGACCTTGGCGGCTGCAATGCAAAGTGGGTTCGGTAGCACTGAGAAGAGCCGCAGGCCACAGTGCCTGCCCAGCTGCCTGTGGGAGGCATTATTGATACCATAAGAGCTCAGTATGAATTCACTGGTGCTTGATGAGGTTCCAGCCATGACCCAGTGGGCCAGTCTAGCAATCACTCATCATGTAATACCATCGTTACCAAACATTGCTAATGTCTTAAAATGGCCTCCTGCCTGCTTCACAGAGTGACATCTAAAAGAGTGAGACAAGGCTGACATCAGTTACTCCATGGAGATTCCTCACTTCTTTAGGAAAGGGGGCTGGGTTTGGAACCTATTTTGTGTGTGACTACCTTCGGCAGTCAGTGCCTGTAGGAGAGCTAGAATAATAGGCTAATTATTTGGAATACATGGCTTGTCCTTTCAATGGAACAGCCAATCAATGCAATGAGGCAACTGGCCAATTTGGTTTGACCGATTTTCACTGTAATCCCTATTTATAAAATAAAGGAATTGGACTAGCTGGCCTAGAAGGCTCCTTTTAGTTCCAGCGTGGTGATCCTAATTACTCAGTCTATTGACCCTTTGGATTAGCATCATGTAAACACCATTGCTCAGTTAACATTGAATCACTGTCGCTCAGCTCCAAGCCTCAGAAATGCCATTAAGTCGAATTTTACTTTATACATCCACTCATCTTGGTGAATGAACATGTGCTTAAGGAGGAAATGGTTCCAAGAATTCCAAACCACTTGGAGTTATTTAATATTTAATTTTTATTACTTTTAAAGAAATTTAAGAAAAATACTGACAACAGGACCTGATCTTCTAGCTCAAGTCATTCTTTGTCAAGCTTAGGTTGGGAATAGGTGGCTCACGTTGGCCACTGACACATTTTTGTTCTGGGTGTTACAGTTAGTGGTCGAGAATCAAAGGAAGTTAAGCCACAAGTCAGGCTCGTTGAGGAAAGGGACACATCTTTTCCTTGCCCTCCCAGCTCTGTCACATCTTGTATACAACAGGCCCAACAGCTGAGCATTGGATGGTGCTGGGATGACATCCACTACGTGGACTGGAATATGTTTGCTCTGCAAAGACCATATGCTAGATGCTGGTTAAAGTAACGCTTGACTGTTTTCAGGGGGAAACGCTGGCATCAATTACCGAGAGTGGTATAAGCCCCTGGTGTGGTTTTGGATCCTTGTTGGCCTTGCCTACTTTGCGGCTGTCCTCAGTATGATCGGAGACTGGCTACGGGTTCTATCCAAAAAGACAAAAGAAGAGGTAGGACCCCTTCCAAGTTCTATGAATGTTCTTGAGATCAGATGAGCTCCTGACAAGAATTTCCTGTTTCTATTCTATGGTCTAGAGCATTTCTTACTAAATGGAGGGCTTATAAGGCTTCTTTGCTTTGAATCACTACCTAAAAGCCAAGTGAAACGGAATAGCAGTTATTTCTGGCTCCTTTTTTTGGTGGATGAAAAAAATCTGGTGACTCACCAGCCCACAGACTCTGGGAAGACAAGTAAACAACAACTTATTTTTAAAAATGTAAAGGAAAAGAAAAAAATCCACAAACAGTGAGCAGGGCAGACTCTAGCTGAGGGAGGTGTGCTCTTACCCCTCATTAGCAAATGCACCGGGGAGCCTTAGAAAACTTATAAAAAGCTTGAAAAGGCTGGCCTATCCTTCAGGTCTCAGGGTCTGTATGGAAATACAGTTGAATGTCATCTCTCTCAATTCTCTGTGTGATAAAGGTTCCTTTCATCTTGATTGCTTCCTGGTTGTTAGATCTATGGAAAGAAATATATCCCTGTGGCTAGGTCTACATATAAATATATGTAATATTTCATCAATTTTTACTGCCTCATAAAAATATGCATGAAAATCTACATAACAGCAAGAAAAGGTAGATTCTGTGGTTAAAAAAAAATCCATGTAGTTCTTCTTGGATTAGAGGAAAAGAAATAAAGGAGGAGGTCAAGGAAGGGAGAAGGTAAGAGCTACAGAAAGGACAGGAGATATGAACTAAAGAAACAGAAAGAGAGACAACCCTTTAAAGGCAACTGTTCACTCCCAGAATATGGTCATTCTCTATAAAAGGTGCTAGGAGAAAGTTGCTGAATGTAGAAATTTCCCTGGGCCCAGCTATTGATTTTCCTGGCTTATGTAAACACTGCCAATGCAATCTCTAGTTGGCTTCCCCAGAGGGCTAACTGACCTGCCGAAAATCAGCTCTAACAAAGAGAAAGTAACGTCAATATTGACTTTTCTCAAGGCAAAAACCTAAGATACTCATCTGTATAGTAAAGCACGCTTTACTGATAAAAGCTAAGCAATTTGGTATTGATCCTCCTGCAAAATTTTACTCTAAAGAAGTGTGTTCTGGAACTTTGAATAGGGCTTTGGCAGAACATGCCCCCTTCCTGTACCCTGACCAGGGAAATTTGGTGACCAGGTGATCTGAGGGGCTTCCTAAGCCCAGGGTAAACCTGGTGGCACACGACCATAGTACAGCCTGGCTACAGGGAGACCAGCAGTCCCAGTTTGTCCAGGACCTCGGAAGTACCTAGGACACAGGGCTTATTTTAAAACCACAACAGACCCACACTTATTGGGACAGGTTGATCACCCGACCCAGATACAGGCATCAGAGGGAAAGAGAAGGGCAGAGGACCCGCTGGACACCTGCTTTGTGCCCAGTGCATGTCCTTATCTCACGTGACACTAAACACTCTGAGTTAGACATGATTACCCCGGTTATGTCAGGAATGAGGACATACAACTAAAAAGATGTGGACACATAACCAGAACTAGGCCTGCCCAACTCCACATACTGGTCTCTCCCCGAGAATGCCATCCACCTCCCCTTCAATCCCCATCTCCAAATCTCAGGCTTCGCGGTGGATCCTCCAGCATGCGTTTCCCCCTGAGCCACATTAGTCAGGAGCCAACTTGTAGGCGGCAGGAAGGACCAGGGCGGAGATGGCACGTTAGCCCTCCCCAGGGCCATGTGCTCCGCCACCTCCCGGCCTCCCCTGACCCAACTTCCCGTCGGGACACCCAGGGGCGGTGGGTGCTGGGGTCCCCGAGGTGGAGAGGAATTTCTCAGCCCGCTGTCGCTCTTCTGTCCCTCCGCCAGGTGGGTGAAATCAAGGCCCATGCGGCCGAGTGGAAGGCCAACGTGACGGCCGAGTTCCGCGAGACGCGGCGGCGGCTCAGCGTGGAGATCCACGACAAGCTGCAGCGGGCGGCCACCATCCGCAGCATGGAGCGCCGGCGCCTGGGCCTGGACCAGAGGGCCCACTCGCTGGACATGCTCTCCCCCGAGAAGCGCTCCATGTTCGCCGCCCTGGACACGGGCCGTTTCAAGGCCTCGTCCCAGGAGAGCATCAACAACCGGCCCAACAACCTGCGCCTTAAGGGGTCAGAGCAGCTGAACAAGCACGGGCAGGGGGCCTCCGAGGACAACATCATCAACAAGTTCGGGTCCACCTCCAGACTCACCAAGAGGAAAAACAAGGACATCAAAAAGACCTTGCCCGAGGACGTCCAGAAAATCTACAAGACCTTCCGGAATTACTCCCTGGATGAGGAGAAGAAGGAGGAGGAGACGGAGAAGATGTGTAACTCGGACCACTCCAGCACCGCCATGCTGACCGACTGCATCCAGCAGGCCGGCGTGGAGAACGGAATGGTCCCCACGAACACCAAAGACCGGGAACGCGAGAACAACGCGTTACTTGAGGACAGAAACTAGATGCTGAGGACGCTGGGCTTGAGCGTTGTGTTTTTTATATTCACCTGGAGACACGTGCCTTAAACAGACTTCTTGTTAGTCCGAAATTACATAGCATTGAATATATTTCACTGTGCCATAAACGACTGAGAACGTTTGCCCTGCCAAAAGGAATCAAACAACGGGGACTTCACTTCCGAGAGTGACCCCAGGACACCCCGGGAGTGTTTGCGACCCGAAGAGGCCCCTGCCGCGAAGGTCAAGGACCCGGCTGCGTGGATGCTCTGCGCCTGCGCAGCTCCACCCGGGCGTGGGGCGTGGAGAAGGGCAGCTATTCCTTAGACCAGCCTTCGAAGAGGAACAGGTGTGTCTTTGAAGTGGAATCTCATTTCCTGAACTTAACATTAGTGATTTGTTCACACGCAGAGGGGGACCGGATAAGGGGTGAACTGGCTACCAGAAATAAGGTTCAGGTTGACATTTTGGCATGTTGCTCTGAGCTTGAATTTTGATACAAACCATTCAGTGCATACCTAGTCTTTCTATGCTCCAGATGAATGTCCATGGGACCTGAGAGCACCTGGAATTTGTTGGAAGCAGATCAGAGCACACGTATTAAAAGGTGCAATTGCTTTCTTCATTACAAAAGAAAAAAATCACAAACATCACACTGTGGCTTTCACCTTAACCAATGACAGAAGCCTACTGAGCTTTGTCTTTCTCACAGGGGTAGGTAGTCCAAATGAACTTGAAAGCATTGGTGAACACTCAACCTCAACTGCTGCATGGTTATGGGCAAAAATCGTGCATTTTCCTCGGTGGGTGCAATGGTGAAAATAAACTGATTTTGAAACGTTCACGTTCACTTTTCTAGTGGAACTTCAGTTGTAACTTCTTTTGAGAAGAGGGGGAAAAATACCAAAACTATTGCCTTGCATGATGCCAGTGGCCTGCCATTCTGTCTAGCTGATCCTAAATTTTTATAAAAGTAGACATCCTGCATGTCTGAGACATACCAAGGAGGACCATGGCATCATTCCATCTCAGGGCTTTTCGTCCCTTTGGGTGTCTTAGGGTAGACATAGTTACAAGATCCAGTTTTGCTATCTCCAAACAAGAGGAAAATTAGTCCCTCAACCAACCCTTGTACAAGAAGACTGAATTGTTTTAATTGCTTGCAGCTTAAGTGCCATTAACTGCCATTTAACAAAATAATATTTAAAGAGAGTATTTAAAATATTTTCACTTTTATGTTTGGGAATCCCTTTATTTTGAAAGCATCCCCTCTCTTCCTTGCTTGTTTCTTTCCCACCTGCTAGCCACTAAAATTGGAATACCAGTGTGATTGTCTCAAGGCAAACAATAGCCAATATGTGATAATTATGAATGTTCCATGAGGTTAGGGCATCCAGTGAAGGGAAGTGGGGGATGGCTGGTCATAGCTTTAGAGAGGAAGATTTTAAGTGGAATTTTATCAGAAAGGGAAAAACAGGTACTAGACCAATCATCCTGCGCTTACCTCAGCCGTTTTCCTTACTGGTTGGCCATTGTACCAGTGCACACTTAGCTATTTTAGCCACAGACAGTCATTTGGATCTGGCAACACCAGGAAGTGGCTGGTTATAGGCCTCCAGGATCAGTGGCACCTTTTGGGGATTTCACATAATGAATACAGTGGATTTATCAAAAGATCACAGGACTAGCGGAGACTTCCAGAAACTAACTAATGCTTTCTGACTTGCAGAGAAAAATATATCTTGCACATCCTTGACCACTGGTACCATGGCAGACTTCTTCCTGCCCACTTCCCCCAGATGCACAACTTCCCTGGAGCACAGGCAGGCCTTTCCCTATTGCCCCATATTTTTAGGCTCTAGTTAATGTTCTGGCATTGCTTTTGGGAATCAGTTTTGATGAGGCCCTTCTTGTCCAAGGAAGGTTTGGGTTAAGCCCTTCTTTGAGCTAGACCTGTGGCTATGGGTATAACAATGGTTATGTAGACACTGGTTCTTCATATGGAAATCATTCCAGCCTGACAAAATGTGTTTTAAGAAATTGGGAGATAACTGGGACTTAAGCTCTTATTCTGACAAGTTAAAGGCTTGCTGATAAAGCTGTCCGTGGATTTCATTCATTTGGGTTTCTACCCTCTATTACTTGCTACCTTCTTTAAAGTAATGTTAAAATTTTGTCTGTTACAGCCGAATCTGGCAAAGCAGCTTCCTGGTCATTTATCTAGTGGCTTCAGTGAGCCAGGCATTAGATTAGGCCCTTTATGGACATCAGCTCACTGACACCTCACAGAAACACTCTGAAGGAAGTGTTTGCAAACCAATTATACCGATGAGGACATGGAGGCTCAGGGAAGCTGAGTAACTTACCTAATGGCACACAGCAAGAAAGGTGGTAGGGCTGGTATTCAAAGGTTGTCTGACCAAAGTCTGCTTTCGACTTTGTTACCATGTCCATGTCATGCCCCCCTGTGAGTGTGTGTGTGTGTTTGTCTGCCTGTGTGTCTTTCTATTTTCATGGACACAGCATCCAGAGGTGGGGAGAAGATCTCTACTACCAAGAGGGTATGAGGTATCTGTGCAAACAATGCCTGAAGTTGCCCTGGCAGAAACTTACTGCACATTATTTTGGTTTTTGCTTAGCTTTCATGAATGCTGTATGTGGCACCTTTTCTGTAGTGTTAAAAATACCCTTTGAAAGCACTCTTTTGCACTTTACTTGCTTATCTTCCAGGAACTCCATGAACAGCAGGAATAAAACAATTCAAAGCACTGAGGTGCACACTACCAAATGGAACGGTGTTGGTGTATATGCATAGACGCTTCCCCAGACAAGTCAAATCACAGTAACGTGGAGGGATTGAGAATAACCCTTCATGGAGAGTGAGAAAATCTCCAATATAACCTGTTCCCTGAGTACAGATGGGGCCAAGGCCCTCAAAAATAAAATCAAAGAAGAACCCTCCCTCTGTGCAGACTGATCTGTTAAATATGTGGGAAAGTGTTTGCCAAACCATAACGTACCATCCAAAGGAGAAGCTGAAAGGGCATAAGTGGTGGGACTTCTCTCTGTGTGTACAGGCTAAGATTTGGGGACAGGCCAGTTGTTTTGAAGTTGCTTGAATGTTACCTTTTTTAGGATGGGGACAAATAGCTTGTAGACTTTGTGTGGACAAGGCCAAGCTGCTACAAATTCTAAACATGGTTCAGCACAGTCCTGCCCCAATCACCTGCACTCCCCACCTGACCATGAACTTGGAAGACACATTTTGACTTTGCACAAGGAAGGAGTGGGAAGAGCACATGTTCAGTATCCTCAGTGGGCAGCCTCTTGTGCCTCACCTGGCAATCAGATACTGAATTTTTCTCCCATAACAGATCTGGAGGCTTACAGATGATGGCCAAGAGACAATTTGGAGAGAGTACAGCTCCATACCCAGTCCTAACCTGATAGTGGCTGTAAGAATCTGTCACTTTTGGGGTGCAGCCTTAAGTGTGTGTAGGGAGCGGTGTCCCTGTCCTACAACTAAGGCGACTGGGACTACTTGTCTGTGCTCCTCCAGGCCCAGTGACTGTTATGGGTACCTCAGTCCCTTTGCACATCTCTGTTACCTCATTAGCACATCAAAGATGTTGAACACAGGTAATCAACAAGGACCTTTTTTTAGTTCTGTAGTTCTCCGACCAAACATTCCCTGGTCCATGAGTCAGTTAAATTTATTAAGAATGATATTAGCTGGATTTGTGAATACCAACTAATGGGTCTACTCATTTTAGGCTAAGATGAGAGCTTAGTTTCCTGTCCTTTGGGATTTGTTTTCTGGGTGATTGATGGAGAGCAGATGTATTTGGGAGCCGGGTGTCCAATTTAGGATTGTGCCCTGTGTAGGCTCACTCCGTCCTCCTCAGAGCACACTGTCACCCAGAGGGCTCATGCTGTGCAGGCATTTTTTGCATGGTGTTAAGAGTATCTAAAGAATTTTAATCTTCAGTCAATTGTAGTAAAGGTTCCCCTTGATTGCTTCATAATTTCAGATACTATAGACAGATCTCTCTCACTTAGACACAAACGTACACACCCACATGCATGTGCACACATGCACACACACATACACACACACACAGAGGAAGTGGCTGCTTTGAGTTCTATGAGGACCATTCCATGTTGAAAGTCCTAGTTGTGCTAGACATTAGCAAACCACCCCCTCGCCTCCCTCTGAGATGATGGCATTTCCTGGTGGAGTCAATGCTGCTCATCTGTTTGTATGCTTGACTTTGGAGATTAGTGAGAATGTGGCCAGAATTTAGTTAGGTAGGGCAGGTGTTTACTCACAGGATTGGTAAGAATGTAGACCATTCATTGTTTGCCATGGTTTCTAGACCATGGGACAGGCATAGGAAAACAAACAAACATGCAGAGACTGTCTAGAGAAAGAGAAAAAAGGCCAGTATTGCATTTCATGTCTCTGCTTTCTGCATCCCGCAAATGTTTCAAGTGGGGGTTATTCTTTTGCACTCATGATGCAATTGTGTGCAAAGACAGTGGCTACCTGAGCAGAGGCAACTTTTGGTGGTAGAGTGTAAAAGCTAGTTCGTAACGGCCTTAAAAATTAAAAATGGTAACTCTGAAACAAAGGTGACTTTAATTTGGTGTTGTGGATACTGTTAATTCTGCGTATGAAACTTTGGAATAGCATGCTGATTTCATGGTTGTAAATAAAACCCTGCACTCTGTCCTTGCACGATAAACCAGCTGCGTTGTACTTCACCAACCCACCCACAATCCATGTAAACCTCAGTCCATCCATGGCTGTCCCTAAGTCACATGACATCAGCTCAGGGGCATTGAGGAGAAATAAGAGGTATCTCTGATTTTACTGAAAGTGATAGCATTTTCACAGGTGCCTAAGAGATTTGAAATCTACTTTCGGTTATTGGTTTTTAAGCGAAAAATCTTAAATAGTTCCCTGTGCATTAAAACAAAAATCCTTGTGAGGACTGCCGTTTCATCAATACAGCAGCCCTGTACTTCAAAGGAAACCCGGAACACCTCTGCTTTGCCATCAGGGTGCCGAGCTAGAAGGGAGAAGGTGCAGTGGTGCCTCGAAGCGATATGCAAACCAACCCACATGCCAGCCTCCGACCTCTTTCCCTGTCCCAGACTCACAGGCAGGGGACCCAGTGACGATAAACCATGTGTGGAGGTGTTTTACCTATTTTTCTCTCTGTAGGATTTCATGGTGCTTTAAAAAAAGGCATTTTACAGAAAATAATGCAGGGTGGGGGGAGGAGGGAATTTCATAATTGTTCTTAGGAAATATACAAAAGCAAATTTGCTTGTAACATTTCAATAAGCTGTGCTGCTATTTGTCTTTATTTGATGTAATTTTTTTTTTTCCAATGATGGAGAAAATTGCAACAAAGACCTTCTGGAAGATCCAATCAATGTCTCTCCTGTTTTCTTTTGTGGGGCCAAACCTAGTTCTTAGCGGCTGGGTTGGGAGCTACGCTCAAGACCGCAGGTCATCTGGGGAGAGGCTTCTTGCCCGGCTGGGCACTCGTTTACACGCATTCTTCAGGGCAGAGCCTATGGAAACCCACTCTCCTACAGGTAGAGGAGCCCACAGCACCTAGAGAAGAGGAATCTTAAACAGCCCAGGATGGTTGTACTTTTACTTTCACCTCCTTATTCTTATTTGACCCTGCTTGCCTATTGTTGGGGGTTGGACACACGATGTCACATCTTCTGGGTGAAACACTTGTATTTGGGCACTGTGGTAAATCTGCCAATAGAAAATAAATAACTCTTTGGGAGCCAACGTTCAAACTGTGTTTGGTTTTGCCCTTGCTGCATGTCCACCAGCCATGGGCTTGTAATTATAAGCAGAGATAAAAGGCCGACTATTTTTCAGCGCCTGTTATGTACCAGGTACTCTACTAGGCAGTTTACATCCCATTTAGTCTTCCTGATGAAGCAAGTTGAGTCTCCTCATTTTGTAAATGAAGAGTTGGAGGCTCAGAGAGAATCAGCTTCCAACTCAAGTTAATCAGCTTCAGACCTGAATTTCTTTTATTAGGTCCTGCAGCTGCACGTGACAGGTGCTCTGAGCACTTTTCCAGTGAACATGATATGCAGGTCTTTCTGGCTTGTCCTCACTGTCCATGACCAAGGGTGAACTCCTGGCTGTGGACTAAGCAAGGCCCAGTGGCCTACATGGTAGAGCCCAGACTTCACGCAGGCTGACCTAACATGACTACTGGTCATGGTCTGGGCGGGGACACATCTGGTTCATATTTACTGTTTTCATGGGCCTGGCATAGTGCGTGGCATATGGTAGGAACTCAAAGTGACCTTTCTAAAATGAAATTGACTGAATTATCTCCTTGGCCTTCAGGATAAAACCCAACAGCGCTGGTCTGTCAGGGTCTATGTGCGATTCTGTCTCATCATACACCAGCCTCTGCCACCACCATTTTGCAAATTTCCCCAATGGTCCATGCTTCCTTCCTCTGTCTCTGGGTCTTTGCATGTGCTGTTCCTTTTGAATGTGCTCCTCACTGATGAGTCCCCTTCCCCATTCACTACCACCTGACCCATTCACATCCTGCAGCGCTGAGCTTAACAGGTGCCTCTGGGGACTCCTCCCTCACTCCTCCGCATCATCTCAGAGTGAGTCAGCTGCCTTCAGCACAGTTTGAGCTCCCCCAGCTCTGGCAGTTGCTCTGCTGGATTTTAACTGCTGGTTTCCTTGTCTGATGGATGCAGATTATAAACTCCTCAGGCCAGGAACTGCGCCTTTCACTTCCATGCCCACACTGAGCACAATACCTGATACAATACAGACACTCAAATTTATCGGTAGAAAAATTTTAATAATCTTATTGATAACACATTTGCATCCTTCAAGGTAGATCTAATTTTTTTTTTTCACGAAAGGGAAGTCATTTGGAGCCAAGGCTGTAATTTATCCAACTCCTAAGTAACATCTTGGTCAAAACCAAATTTACCTACAAAGTAATGAGTTGGGTTTGTATTTTGGGTTTACAAAGAACTCCAAAATTGTAATTACAGTGAGTGTTGTTGAAATAACTAAACTCTAAAGATGACTACTTTAAAGGATAGCTCTCATTTAAATATATAGTCAATAGAATATTTACTTTAAAACCCATTTTATTACTATAGGTCCAGTCTGGATGCCTATCAATTTAGGAAATATGAGATTATGCTTTGTGGGAGGTCAAATATATGGGCATCATGCCTTACTCCTATCCCCAGGGCAGATATCTTCTCATCAATCACAGAATTCCTTCCCTATTAGTCTGGGTGCATACTCAGAACCCATCTTAGGACTGTACTCGAGGTTAGTAGGTCTCAAAATATGGTCCAGTGATCCTTGGAGGGCCCCATGATTCTTTTGCAAGATTCATGAGGTCAGAAATATATTCAGCTTGATACCTTTTCACTTTCATTCTGTCATCAGGGTACCATCTAGAATTGAGTGGTCACTCAGAGAGTAGAGGCAAGGTAATAAACCTTCTGTTGAACTTAAAGACTTATCCAAAATGGTAGTAAATGAACGTGTATTTCTTAGAGAACCCCAAATTATCTATGTGTAATTATTTTTATTGGAAAAGGATTTCATCTTAGCCTTGTAGGAATGGACCACAGCAACAGCCATAAAACAATATTTCTATGGCTGTTCCTGCTGCTCTGTGGGTTCCAGCCCCTCAAATTCCTCTCCAGCTAGCCCTGAAGAATCTTAGAGGGGTCTCCTGGGTGCTCTATTTCTTGGCCACCAGGCTATGGGGATCAGTTTCCTAGAAGCCTCTCTGACTCTCCTGGGCTGGATTAGATGGTCTGATCCCCTGGTAAAGAAAGTCACTACATTTTTGTGATTGTCCATCTTCCTAGAGGGAGATCTCTCTTCCTCATTGTTTTTATGGGACTGGCACAGTGTATGGAACATAGTAGGAGCTCAAAAGATATTTGTTGGATGAGTAGCAAATCCAAAGCCGTGATGTTGGGTAAAGGGCCTCTGTGAAAAGTAGATGCAGCGGAAAAGAGCCCAAATCTGGGGTGAGCTGGAGGGAAGGTTAGAAGGATGCCGTGTGTGAGGGGAGCCCAGGGTACAGGGTAGGAGTCCAGGCAAATGAAAAGTATCTCGGAAGATTTCTGGAGACAGAATTCTCACCCCAATGGCAACTGTTACCCACTCACTTCTAGGAACTTCCATCAACCACAGGAGCAAGAGGGGTGCAGAGACCCTTAACACAAGACGATTCTGGTTTTAAAATGTTAGTGCAGGCCTGGCTGTATGAATGTGAGATGGCACCCAAGTCAACATCCATTCATTGCCTCATGGGAAATATTTCAAATCTCTGATGACTTGTTCTTAGAAATGAAATTTAAAATACATTGTAAGAATCAAAAAATTAAAATGTCTCACACATTCTATTTGAAAGAGTCGTGCTTATTAAATGCATTTGAAAGGTCATTACTCGTTGCTTGGTTAGATTAGGTTTTTAACTCATCAGGTTAAATTAGGATTTTTCTCTCACTTGTAACATTATAGTGAAGCAGGTAGTAGAGGTGCAGGCAGATAGAGTTTCAGGGCCCCTGTAAGTTTTAAGGCCCTTTTAAGTTTCAAGAAGCTTCAGGGCTCTTGCAAGTTTCAAAAAGCTCCAATCCAACTCAGCCATTCAAAAGTACACTTAGATAGACCTTAGCTCTGGTTATGTCCTATGAAAATGAAGCTTTGTACACTCAGCCAATCAAGAGTGGGTTGTGATGTCATTAGTTCAGTTCGCTATTTGGTCTGGGGAGGGTGGGACTTCCTCCTCTCTGGAAGCAATATAAAGCCCAGACACCGCAACCCTGAAGGTATCCTCCCTTGGAGCCCCTCCTGAGTAGCAGGAGTTTTCTTATTTCACTCATTAAAAGAACTTTGCTATTTGCTCCATACTCTTGTCTACTGGCTTTATTCTTCATTGCCTCTGAGACATGATCCTGGGAAAAACAGCATCTCAGCCAGTAACAATAGCATCAAAATATTTTCAATATAGTAATCTGTGTCATTATCTATAAACTGCATCAATGGCTCTTTGGAATTATTTGCAAACACCTGAGGCAAAGAAAATGGGGGGACCTCAGTAAGATATAAATTTGTTTTGTAGTGAAGAATGTTGGAGAACTCTTAAATTGGTTCTGGGCTTGTTATATTAGTTACAAAGGTAAGAACTAGAAATACACTAAATGTTAGGATAGCTTATGGTGTATATTTCTATATTTTATGTAGAACATTAATCTTTGCCTTAAAGAACCTTCTGTTCTCTAGTTTGTCTGATTCCATAGATAGTTGAAAAGTAATGGGCCATTCTGTTATCTCCATAAGTAAATACAAATCTGAAATAATTTCTCTTCTGAATTATTGAGGGGGGAAAATAAGAAGATATAGCTAATGGTGAGAGCAATTGGCTAAGACTGTACAATCCATCCATCCATCCATCTTTCCTTCCTTCTACTTCACAAATATTTATGGAGCCCTGTTCTGTGTGAGACCCTGGGAGAACGACAGGGGATGGCAAGCCATTGTTCCTGCCCTGTAGGATCTCAGGTAATAGAGTCAGACAGCCCTGTGCAATGTGCCATAGGGAAGTAAAATCCTGCAATCTGGTTGGAGGGAAAACAGTAATAGGACTGTACCTGATCTGGTTCAATAGTATAAGGAGTTACCACAAAAGTGCTAGAAATTCAGAGAGCATGAGGATTGGTGTGCGCCGTAGCAGTCAAAGAAGACTGCCTGTAAGAGGTGGCATCTTTAAAATGGTGCAATAGGACTAGTTGGGATCAGGGGAATGTGAATGGCTCCAAAGCATAATTCTGCCTAATGACATTCAAGATTGATCCATTTGTCCTGAGAACACCAGAAATAAATCTTGTATTGGGATTACTTTAAGAAATTTTCTGCTCTGGGAGGAATGTTTTAAAATGGCTGAAATAAATCACAACTGTAAGTCATACTTAAGAGATGAATAGAAGATAAGCTTCACTAGTCATTGAATACAACACGAATTGTAAGTCCTTCTGAGAGCGTGTACAGGTGAAAGTTATGCAGTGTATTAGCCTCTCTTCTTTCTTTCTGACTTTTCCCCTCCCTCTGGTCTCTCATCAAGCAGATCCCAGGTTCTGACTGCATTTCATCGAGGAAGGAATATAATGGCAAATGTAGTCTTGCCTTTTTGTTTCAGAAGCCAGGACTGCAAAAGGATTTCATGAGAGGAAGCATAGTGGCTGGAGCATGCCAGTGGGAAAGAAGTGTCAGCAGGTCAAAAGATTTCCTCAGGTTGGGGACATAGCAGAGAAGTGGGGGGTCTGTGTGTGCAGTCCCCAGGGAGAAAGGATGGCCTGGTGGACTTCAGCAGAGGAGCCCTTGGGCAGCCTTGCTGGAAAGGCCAGGGGCACGGTGGGCAGCAAAGGGCCCCAAGATCCCTGCTCAAACCACCAACCAAAGTAGAATTTCCCACATGGCTGGTAGAGTGCGCCTTGAAACTGAAATTATGCTGATTTACAGAAAGTAAAGAGTTTCACCATTTCTTGCATACCTGAACTTTTATTCTGTCCTAAAGGATTCCTCTTGCTTTGGGCCTCTATCATCTTGTTTCTTAGGCAGGAACAGAAGATAATTTTCTCCCTGATTTTTGGGAGATTCCTATGCTAGAAACAGGTTGTACACATGCAGTGCCTTGGATGGGCAATGCCGTTTT